GGTTCAACTTGAGGATGCTCTGAAGTAGGTCTTACCCCCCATCTACACGTGAAGAAATGACTTTGGAGAGGTCTTGCTCCAAGTCCATAGCAGGTCAGTGACAGCTGACATTCAAATCCAGGTCTTCTGTTTCCAAACTGTGCTTCATGTGTTTACCCAGACTGTGTTAGACTCAGCCTCGTGAGGGAGAGGAACAAAGGTGCAGCTATATCTTCATTGCAACATCTAAAGGGAACGGCGGCTGGTTTCATATTGTTAGATGATGTTTCACCAGCTCAGGGAAGCCTGTTTCTCTGTAGTGGTGATACATCAAGCTTTCTCTGCTTGACCTGTCTTCTTGGCTCTATGTTGTGAACCCTCCTGCAGAATTTCCTCTGCTTTAGGTACACACACACACCTCCCCCCAGTACACCCATATACTTATGACTGTTCCAGACCTGGCAGGGAGGAGTACTTCCACTTAGAGCTTTAATAAGCAGTTCAAACCACAGGTCTGAGAGCCTGAGAGCCTACAAGTCTTACTTCCTGCTATTGGAAGACCAGAATACGTACCAGCTGACATGGTTGCCTACTGGGCTGGCGTTTTGACTCTTTTGCATGTGGACTTAAGGGTACTTCACTGTGACTTAAATCACAGGAGATTTTGCAGAGAAGGAATAAAAAATGCTCCCATAGCTTTACCCCTTCCTCCCAACACACACACACACACACAGGCAGACAGACAGACAGACAGACACACATGCACGTGTGCGCGTGCACGCGCACACACACACACACACACACACACACACACACACACACACACACACCTGCCCTAGATCAGGCTTTGGCTCTGTGACTAAGATGATCTACCCAGTCACCTTCAGCCTGGAAGAATGTGGTGTCCATACTGTGACATGGGCACTGCTCATCATGTGCCATTTAAAGCCAAGGACCTTTCACCCCTCAGTTTAAGTGTTTCTCAATCAAAGTGCTTATTGAACTTCAAACCGAATGGTCACTTAAAGGCTGATTGCAGCACTCCCACAGTCAAAGAAATGAAACTTTTGGCTTTGTTAATGCTGAGTCTTGGCTCAAGGTTTGAAGGCTGCATGGAATTTTGCCCTGTTCTTGCAAACATTTGGAGAACTGCTCAGTCAGCCTTCCGGGAAAAACACGCCCGCGTCCTACTGTATGCCTTCAGCTTTGGTCTTGTCAACACAGGGATCATTGAGAGCCTAACTCTAAAGCTCTGCGCTCCTTTGTTCTCTGAATATGGAGGACAAGATGCAGAGTAATCAGAAAACAAATGATGGAATTATGGTTATCAGTGGGGATGCACTTCATCTTTCCCCAGGACTTGTATGATATCATTGGACCCACATCTCAGAGATGAAGTTGAGCTAGACTTTTTATCACCATTATGTGGATGAAGAGTAAGAAATGTATAAATACATAAAGAGATACAGAGCAAAAGAGTGTATGTGTGTCTGCATGTCCAAGTGCACACATGCACTCTCATAAAGAAGGAAATACATAATCATTTAAAATTATCCAAGTTGACATCTGATGATAGGGGCTTTTGTATCATTTTAATTTTTTGTTTCATATTCCACATCAGGGTTATCTGGAGTCATGTTGACTGCAGGGCTCAGACCAAAGAGTGGGAATCCCCACAGGCAGGAGCCAGCCTGCAGTTGAAGTTCACTGCTCTGGACAAATAAGCAATGGGAGAATATGCCCCCTGTCATGTGGGCTGCATGACTCTCCCATCTAGAGCCTCTGACAATTTGAGTGGATGGTAAACAACCAATAATAACACAGACAACATGCAAGAATCGATGATCAGAATTTTACAGCTATGTTTAATATTAGAGGACAAAATTAAGCTGCTTTTTAACTGTATGCAGTGTTCCAGGATTGAGTTTTTTCCCTACCCTGTGTGTTAGTTTCCTTAGTAGCATGAGTTTCTCCTCTTCCAGAAAACAATGTCTGGCCCAGGTCATCCAAGGGCTATTCTTGGAGTGCTCACTCTTAACCTTCTCCCCTCTACTCTGTCCCTGCAACACCAACCCCTGGTCTAATAATCAACCTTCCAACTAGTATAAAAATTTTTTTAATGTTTATTTATGAGAGAGAGAAACAGGATCCGAAGCAGGCTCCAGGCTCTGAGCTGTCAGCATGGAGCCCAATGCGGGGCTTGAATCCATGAACCACGAGATCATGACCTGAGCTGAAATTGGATGCTTAACCAACTGAACCACCCAGGTACCACCGTAACTAGTATGGAGCCTTCCTCACTACATGCTAGAAACCAGCCTCTGGCCAACCTGCAGAGCCCAGTATCTGCTTTATGTTATATAGGTTATTTTAAACTTTGCATTTCACTTTTCTTACTGTCTGAGATCTCTTGGTTTTGGTATAAATGCTGATGAAGTAAATTAGTATCTTATGCTTATTTTTCAATTTCAACTGAAATTGTTATAAAATATATTTTTTAATGTACCTTTTATTTTTAAACAAAAACATTAACGGAGACTGAAGGGGACTTGGTTGGTTCCTAAGAGGTAATATATCATTTGGACAAAAGTATGTCTGTACCCATTGTCCCTCCTGCATAAAGCACACCCCAGGGAATGCCCAGCTACAGCCTCTGGGAAGAACTGCACTGGTTTTTGGCACTAACAGAGTCCCACGGCTTTTAAAATGATTCCCCTGCATTCCTATGGCTGCTATGTCAGGGACTATGTAAAAGTTAGCCTCAAACGTGGGGATGTCTGGACTTATAAAATTTGCACTCTAGGCTCCTAGGGGTGCCTTGGATGGGAGAGGGAGAGATGCTGAGCTGTACAGGCCTCTCTGGGGTCAGGGAAGGGTGGGAGGAAGTGAGGAATACACAGTGACTAGTTGTGGTCCAGCTCAGCCTCCAGGTAAGAAAGTCATAATGGCCGGGGTCTGCTCTGGACCTGATGGGCAGGTGTGTGTTTCTGGCCCCTGGGTTCTGGGGAAACAGTGTCTTTGGGTTCCTTATTGACGTGCAAAGAAGAAAACCCTCACTTCTGCTTCCTGTCATAGTCAGGGGGATTGTGTTCAGACTGAGGAAATCTAGTGGTCTTCAAAAGAAGCTCACAAAAGAAGCTGAGGGACAAGGCCAGGCCAAAGAATGGGGCTAGGCCTGGCTGACAACCTCCCTTTGGTTCCTCTCTTTTCCTAGAGTGGACCATACAGCAGCCTCTAGTTTCTCTTATCCCCACTTTCGCATTTACACCCCACCTATCTAATTTCCTGGCCAACTTCAAAAGGAGGGAAGTAATGACTTTGTAAGGTAAGTTTGTCCAGACACAGAATGAGACGGTTTCTTCATTAGGTGTTTAGTCACCTGTTAGATAAATGGTCAGCCCTCTCTAGAGAGCACCATGACTCTTCAGTGCTTCTCTACCTCTCCTTTTCCTTCAAGAGGGAGGAGACAATCCTCCCTGGGCTGCAGAGGGCCAGGCAGGTGTCCTTTAGAATTAACTCCTTCTCCCCTGGGTCATTCTTTCATCAACCTCCCCCCCTGGTGGTAGGGCATCCCCCTATTTCTTCTCCCCCACCAGCCTCACTGGGGCTGTAAAAGCAGCCTGCAGATTGCTCATGCCTAGACGTCAGCTGACCAGCCTCCTGTCCAATATCTCTAGGTGTCATGGGTTGGGTTCCCTGGCAACAGACTTTGAGAGAGAGATCTACATGCAACTGGCTTGCTGAGTAGTGTTCTTGGTGTGAACACCTGTTAACGGAGTGAGGGAAGACAGCTCAGGCATACAGTGGTCAGTGTCCAGGGTACAGAGGCCTCAGCTGATCCCACAGGGAGCTCTGAAGCTGGGTTGGTCCTTCAGAGAGGTCCTGAATGGAGGCAAAAGACCCAGAGCTTGGAGCTTCTGCATCATCCAGTCACTTGAATGCAGTTATCCCTGGGCTGGGGTATAACCTTGGGCGAGGCAGGGCCCTTTGGCTAAGGGCAATTTCTAGGGAGGGACCCAGCTACACCCCCCATCGATGGACAACACTCCTGGCAGTAAGGAGAATGAGTGCCTCTGTTCTGAAGAGAAATCTGGGCAACACCTTCCTGCCAGGGACCAGAGAAAGCTGTGGCTTCTAGTTCCCATTGTGGTTCCTAGTTCCCGCTGTTTCAGGTCAAACTCTTGGCCTGACCGGTCAGGAGATGAGGCCAGCAAGGGGAGGAGTGAAGGAGAGTTTTCAGGCAGCCCTGCCAGCGGCTGGAAAAGAACAAGCATTAGGTGTTTGCTGCTCGGCAGACCTGACCTATAGAAGATGAACCAGCTGCCATCTTGGGGAGGGAGCTCAAGTGACCTGCCTTAGGCTGAGGTGGAGAGTCCAACACAGCCCAATAATTCCTCTGGGAAAAGCCGCTAATTGGGAGCTAGTTCTGGCATGGTCTAAATCTAGGCTACATTACTGGATTCCCAAATATTATTGTAACCCAACTCTGCTTTGAGCTCCCCGGTGTATGTCACTTTTATTAAAAAAAATTTTTTTTAAATTTTTTTTAACGTTTATTTATTTTTGAGACAGAGAGAGACAGAGCATGAATGGGGGGAGGGTCAGAGAGAGAGGGAGACACAGAATCAGAAGCAGACTCCAGGTTCTGGGCTGTCAGCACAGAGCCCAACGTGGAGCTCGAACTCACGGAGTGTGAGATCACAACCTGAGCTGAAGTCGGACGCTTAACCGACTGAGCCACCCAGGCGCCCCCCCCCCCCAATTTTTTTTCTAATGTTTATTTATTTTTGGGAGAGAGAGAGTGTGTGTGTGTGAGCAGGGGAGGGGCAGGGAGAGAGGGAGACACAAAATTCAAAGCAGGCTCCAGGCTCTGAGCTGTCAGCACAGATCCCGATGTGGGGCTCAAACCCATGAACTGTGAGATCATGATCTGAGCCAAAGTCAGACACTTAACTGACTGAGCCACCTAGGCCCTCCACCCCCCAGTATATGTCATTTTTAAAGTAGGGCAGTCTCGGGGCGCCTGAGTAGCTCAGTCGGTTAAGCATCTGACTTTGACTCAGGTCATGATCTCATGGATTGTGGGTTCAAACCCCACGTCGGGCTCTGTGCTGACAGCTCAGAGCCTGGAGCCTGCTTTGGATTCTGTGTCTCCCTCTCTCTCTGCCCCTCCACCACATTCTCTCCCTCTCTCTCTCTCAAAAATAAATAAACATTAAAATTAAAAAAAATAATAAAGTATGGCAGTCTCGTGGGGACCTGGGAGGAGAATATCTGAGAAATGTTTTGAGAGATACTGACCAAAGCTAGAAGCAACATCTGCCTATCTTTTTATCTTTCTTCATTAAAAAAAAGAAAAGTTTATTTATTTATTTTGAGAGAGAGAGCTTGTATGTATGAGCAAGGGGAGGGGCATAAAGAGAGATAATCTCAAGCAGGGGCTCAATCCTGTGAACCCTTGAGATCATGACAGAATCAAGAGTCAGACGCTTAACTGACTGAACCCACCTAGGTGCCCCTCTTTTTTATCTTTCTTATATGTATTTATCTTCTTCCTTCAAATAACCTGAATTCACCAAGTCACTTAATCTGATCCAGTTTGTCTCCCCTCTATCTGTTCACCCACTTGGCACCATTGCCACATCTTTATTTTTCCGTCTCATTTGGGAGGAGGGACAGTGGGTAGTGGCTGAGGAGCGGCTGTGTGAGTACAGAATGGGAGAAAAGTCCCACACTGTGCCACCGCCAACCCTTCTCCAGGCAGAGTAGGAGAGTGGTTCATGAGGCAGGTGAATGGTGGAAGGTTCCGGGCCTGTATGCCCCAAGAGCACACCCCATTATCTCTCTCCCTATACTACCAGGCAGAATTGGATAAAACACCAGCTCATTATCCCCTAAACTAATCCCACAGAGGACAGGCTGATGCAACACGAAGCCTGTGACACAGTTAGCCAGCCCCTGGCAACAGCGTTCGAAGTATGGCAAGGGTGAAATATTGCCCTACTGGCTGAAAGAGCCTTTGCCACCAACAAAGAGCCATTGTGACAACAGGAAGACTCCAAAAAGCTGGGTGCAGTGTAGACAGGAAAGAGCTCTCTCTACTTCTCCCCCTCAAGAAAGAGAGGTTTAACCCTCCAGTGTTTGGCTAATTTCCTAGGCCCATCCCCATCTGGGCACCCAGGAGGGGCCGGCGGCTCTTGGCTGGAAGGCTGCCTGCTGGGCAGGTCAGGGATGGCACCTGGGCCTGTCACCAAGTGGCTTCTGTAGGTGCTAGAGGAACAGAGCGCCACAGGAACCTTACGGGTAGTTTTTGTTTTTTGAAGCCTACTGCTTTTCCTTGTTTTCATTCCATCTGCATCAATTAAACATTTAAAAAATCAAATGACAAATGTTTATTGAAAACCCACGAACACGGACACTCTCTGAAAAACCCTTGTTCTCTTCTTATACCTGCTTCTACCCATCAGGTCCTCCTCCCTCTCCTCTGCCGAAATACCCCTTCACGACCCAGCCTGAGGTCCACCCCTTTCTCCAAGGCTTTCCCGGTCACCCCTGCTGGTGACAACTTCCCTTCCTCTCTCTTTCCCTCCTGCATCATGTTCCCAGCCCTCTCCATCCCGCCTGGGTGTCCCCAAACCTATTCTCTTCCCTCCACGTTTTCACGTCCCTACCACCCCTGGTCTAATGATTGCTCCTTTCCTGCTCTTCCTGCCTTTTTTATCTCGCCCCTTCCAATCTGTTCTGCATGCTGAACTATTTGTTCCAAAAAACAAATATGACCGGGTCATCTACTAGTCTGAATGTTTCTATAATAGCTAACATTTACTGAACGTTTCTGCATGCCATGCTCTGTGCTAAGTGCTCTGCATGAAAAACTCATTCAAAGCTCACAGTAACCCTATGAAGCAGGCACTGCTTTTCCCATTTCACAGATGAGGAAACCAAGGCCCAGAGAAGTTAAGTAACCTGCCCAGGATCACACAGCCGGTAAGTGGCAGAGCCAGCATTTGAACCCATGCAAAGAGGATTCAAAATACCACCCTCTCTGGGGGTGCCTGGATGGCTCAGTCATTTAAGTGTTTGGACTCTTGATTTCAGCTCAGGTCTTGATCTTACTGTTTGTGGGATCGAGCCCCATGGTAGACTCTGAGCTGACAGCATGGAGCCTACTTGGGATTCTCTCTCTCTCCCTCTCTCTGCCCCTCCCCCACTTGATCTCTCTCTCTCTCTCTCTCTCTCTCTCTCTCTCTCTCTCTCTGAAGATAAATAATAATAATAATAAAAAAGCCCCACCACACTCTCAAGCAATGCACCATAATTATAGTGCTTCTCAATGGCTCTCCACAGCTCTCAGGATAAAGTCCAAACTCCTTAGCACTCAAGGCTTCTCATCTTAGGCTCATCCCTTTCCACTTGCTGATATGTACCCTTTACTCCCCTACACCCCAGTGGTGTGCAGCTAAAGGTTTAACAATTGGATCTCTGCAAAATAAAGCCCTGATTGGTAACATTTACCAGTCTCCATGGTGTCAGTCCTCCCACGTGGACAATTTCAGGATGTGACCACAGCATCACTGAATGTGGAGTTGGGGAGAGGTGGGCACAACCAGCTGGCAGGAGTAGCTCTGGGTTCAGGCACCCACACACTCCACCCGTCTCTATCACCCACAATGACTCCGCCCACCCAGGACAGTCCCTTGGACCACAGACCACCCATCTGCCCTATCACTGACCCATGGTTCATGTGTGGATCTGGAAAGCTCCACTAAAAGTCGACATTCATTTCTTCCTGCTCACTACCCACCACGGGCAGTCTGAGAGCAGGGCTGAGAACATCGACTAGGCCATGAAGTCTGCTGACCATCCTTCGAACAGGCACGTGTCCCCCTGCATCTCTCCCACAGCCCCTGCCCTCCACCCAGAACACGCTACCCACAGCAGTCACATCTTTGCCCCTAAGACATAGGCCCAAGACCCAGAGCATCCCTGCTGCCCTACTGCACCTTGCCCACAGCAGTCCTGGCCTCTCATCAGTGGATAGCTGCCTGAGGCTCATCCCTTAGCCTCTCTTCTTCTCAATCCACCCACACTTCCAGGGGCTCACGTCTTCATGTTTCATGATGTGATAATTTCTGAATATAGATGTCACTGGATCTCCGCTCAGACATCCCCCAGGCACCTCACGCTCAGGACCTCTCAGGCCTCATCTATCCTCTTTATCCACAGACCTAGTCTTTCCTCTCCAGCCCCAACCTCTGTGACTCCACCCCACAGTCCTTGGGAGCAGTGTCCTTCCAGCTGCGGCACACCTGTGTGTTTGCATCTCCTGTCTGAGCAGGGACTCACCCACAGGCCAGGCAACCCCTGGGTGTTCCTTCTCAGAAGCTCGAGAATCTCCCTAAAGTCAGGCATGAGCTAGAACAAACACCCCAGGGGGTAGTCCTAGCAGAAGGGGACACCGCTGTCTTCTCCCAGCTCCTAATTAGAGACCAGGTAGTTTCCCCAAGTCAAGTACTGGCTTTCCCTTCAGTGTCCCTGATGCAAAGTGCAATGACCCACTCCTGCTGGGTGTGTGGCTTAGGAGCAACATCTTCTTATTAATTAAATATTTAATATGGTATGACTATGTAAATTGTGGACGCCATACATGAATGCCAGTTTTTACAGGTTCATGAATGAAACTTAACGCTTCCACGAGACTACAGAAATCTGCCCTGTTCTTGGTCATTCTGAATCTTGTGGTACCTGGGGCAGCATCTTTAAAAAATTTTTTTTTAATGTTTATTTATTTTTGAGAGAGACAGAGACAGAGCACGAGCAGGGGAGGGGCAGAGAGAGAGGGAGACACAGAATCTGAACCAGGCTCCGGGATCTGAGCTGTCAATACAGAGCCCAACATGGGGCTCCAACCCACAAACTACGAAATCATGACCTGAGCCAAAGTTGGACGCTTAACCGACTGAGCCACCCAGGCGTGAAGCAGCATCTTAAATTTTTTTTTTTCAACGTTTATTTATTTTTGGGATAGAGAGAGACAGAGCATGAACGGGGGAGGGGCAGAGAGAGAGGGAGACACAGAATGGGAAACAGGCTCCAGGCTCTGAGCCATCAGCCCAGAGCCCGACGCAGGACTCGAACTCACGGACCGCGAGATCGTGACCTGGCTGAAGTCGGTCGCTTAACCGACTGCGCCACCCAGGCGCCCCAATGAAGCAGCATCTTTAAATGCAGCGCAAGGTCACAGAGATCTGTGGGACAGCAGGTTAAACACAGAGAAAGTTTACACAGAGGAGGTTCTGGCTTCACAGCTGAGCCATCAAATTGCACTGATGACCCCTCTGGACCAGTGCAGAACCCCGTGGGGCAGTGACTGAAAAGCACTTCAGAGAAGTGAAAAATTGGGACAAATGTATTAGGTGGCACTAAAGTGTGTATATGAGTGTGTATGTAGGGTGTAACTGCCCTGAGCAGTCTCAGAGATTGTCCTGATAATGACTGGGCTGCCAGCTGCCTTTCCAGCCACGTCCCAAGGTGATTGTGCCCAGGAAGTGGGCGGCCGTAACTCTCTAAAGGTTTATCTGCACAGACATTTCTCTTTCTGAATGGAGGAATGTTGCCTCTCCTATTGCCTGGTCCAATGACCTCTGTTCAGAGGAAGCCCTGGCTTCAGTGCACACCCAGCCAGAGGCTGATCACATCTGCCTTCTCACACTTCCCTCCCAGCTCCTCTCCTTGGAGCCCTCTTCCGGTTATTTAGGTAACCACAAGGTCTCTCCCATTTTGATGGTGTCAGCTGGAATCAGGTCATGATAAACCAATTGTGCTGGATCTTTCATGTCTATCTGTTGAAGGTTTCCAGGGAATTTTTCTAGTGCTTATCTGATTAACTGGGGCCAATTCACTAAGCTCCCAAGTAATGGAATCTGCTTTAAGCTTTGAGACATTGAAACAAAGACACTTAGACAAAGATGGCTGAGATAAAAATTCATAGTACAACAAAGGCTATGTTGTAGGGACAGAAAGACAAAGACCTTAGGACAGAATTTATATAGCCACAGGGGTGGGGGAGGGGAAGGTACCTCAATCTTATGAGGCAAATTGGTGTC